GAAAGAAGAAAATCCCAATTAATTAAAAACCAAAGAACATTAAAATCACACAGGATTAAAATTGTAAATAGCCACGGTGCATTAAAAAGAGTAAATATAAAATCCTTCAGTTGTATGCACAGCTTCAGAACTGTTTTTAACCTATATTTGAAAACTGCCAAAGTAGACGCCAGCCTATATCATTTTCAGGAAGATTGTTCCAGATTTTAGCTGCATGAATCTAAAACGCTGCCACCCCATATAGTTCTGACTCTGGGCGCCAGCAAAAGGCTACTTCCTGTGCTCCTCAGAGTCCGAACCGGTTCATATGGGACCAACATGTCACAGATGTACTTAGGTGCGAGGCCATGGAGAGACTTACACCCAAGCTATAAAGTCTATTCTCTGAGCCACAGGAGCCAGCGCAGAGACCTGAGAACTGGACTAATGTGATCATACTCCGCAGACAGAAGTGAGTTATGTCGTTCGCACATATCTAGCATTTTCTCAACTTTGCTGGGGACGTTTCCCGATGCACCCCCTCCGCTGCTGCTGTCAGATCTGAGTCATCTGAGTGTGTTTGTCTGTAGATGAAGTTTGAAGTGGGTTTAACAAAGCCCCATCTGCGAGCCACACTCGGGGAAACGCTCTCTCTATATGTATATAATTACAAAGCCAAATCTGTCTCTTTATCTTCAGCAATTCAATTCACTTCAAACTCTGTCATTTGCTGATGCGGCTCATAAAAGCGCTGGATATAAGCTGTCGTTATGAGTGCAATAGAAGAGGCACTTTGGAAAGGAAACGGAAAACTGGGGGAAGAATTGTAAAGGGTGATTAGTTAGAAGGAGGTGCCTCGTCCTCTCCAGATGCAAAGGTCCTTCAAGAGGGAAAGGGATTCCAATATCTCAGGGTCTTCTCAGTCGGGGAAGGATGGAGCGTGAATGAGACTGAAGTGCTTTTGTAGTAACGCAATTGCTCTTTTGTCAATCAGATAATTATCATTGGAGTCAATTCAACACAATTTATTCTTGTATAGCCCTAAATCACAGCAGTAGTTATATCTGGAAGGACTTTTACAAAACCCATGAATTCACCAACACGGATCGGAGAATCAAACAACAAGTTCAGACACAAGAAATGCAACGATAAAAAAACATAGAGCCATTGGGCCATAAGGGGCAGATAACCAATGTTCGTAAATGTTGATAAATGTCCATAGATGTTGTTGAGTGTCGAGAGTCCTGGATCATCACCACTGTCCTTTTAGTCAGACCCAGACAAAGGTCCAACAGAACCTCCAACATTGACAAGATAAAACTCAAAAACTCAGTGGGAAATGGTGGGAAACTTCGGGGAGAGACTCACATTGCGATAGGGATATTTACTGTGTTTTCAATTAAGCTAAAGACAGAAGACTAAAGACTGGGGGCCCTGACAGGAGACCTTAGGAGCCCCAAGAACCTGTATTTGATAAAAGTCGGCATTTTTGTTGGGGAGAAAAGTATACATTCAGAGCGCTGTAGAAAATAATCCAAAAACCCTTTAATGTTGGGCTGAGTGGATAGCACTCTCGCCCCTCCCCAGCAAGAAGGTCCTGGGTTCGAATCCCGGTCGGACCAGGGCCTTTCTGAGTGGAATTTGCATGTTCTCCCTGTGTCTGCGTAGGTTCCCTCCGGGTGCTCCGGTTTCCCCTACCACCTAAAACATGCACACTAGTTAAAATCCTCCAGCTCTGGTATTCCTGACCAAGCCGAGCTTCAACATCTGGAGATGGGTTCCCGGGAGCTGTACCTACGGCGACCACTGCTCCTGACGTAAGCCTTAGTGGCATCAGGATGGGTCAAATGCAGAGAACAAATTTCCCTACGGCAACAATAAAGTACTAAAGGGCACATTTACATTTACAGTTCACTCCTTGAAGAAAGCAATGCAAATTCTTCTTCTTTGATTTTCTAAGATGTCAGAGCACTAATAACACACATTGAACCCCTTGTTTATAAATGATAGGCTTTTACCAAATGGTTGAAGTGTTTAAAGGGCCTAAAACCAAGCGATAAAGATGCCCCAATGAGGTAGATTTCAGTCAGAAGCTTCAAGTACATACAGTGAGTCCAAAAGTGATCCACCAAATGGTTGAGGAATCCATTAAAGGGTTAAAACTGTCCTCGGAAAACGAATATTAGTCAATCTCTAAATGTTTTGTTTTGCTTTGTGATGACGCAGGGAAGCGAGGGAAAAAGAACAGAGCCTGGCCGTGTCCTGAGAAGCTCTCTCTACTCTTGACATGATTGTGATTTTGCTGCCTCACATCTCGTTGCACAGAGAGAGAGAGCGAGAGACAGAGAGAGAGAGTACACCCTGCAGCTACAGACCTCCACAGCTGCTCTCCCAGTGCATGACCCAGTCCACTCCACTCTCTCTCACTCTCTTTACCAACACTAAACTCCATCCTCCCAATCTCAGTCTGCACTTAAACCCGGGGCATATCTGATCATTACCCATAAATCCAGTCAAATTATCCAGCGGTTATTTTTAGCGTCGTTAGCGAGGTCACACTCGGCAGCGACGCTCGGTCTGACTTTTCGGACATGATGGACCCAGACCCGACATGAAATATGAAGTGCGTGTGAAAATAGAGCTCCTAGGAAAACTCCGGGGGAAATAAGACAAAGGCGTTTTTGTGCACTGCAGCAAAATGTTTTCACAGAGAAGCGAGCAGAGAGCTTTTAGACAAGCCAAGCAAGTGAGAGTCAGAGGCCGGACGTCCAGAGGCAAGGAGACGCCGGAAAATGTCTCAATGCATATTATCTAGTGTACAAATAATAGGGGTGTAACATTGATTTAAGTTAGGATTTAATAGACTTTTTTTTTTGTACCACAATGGGCAAAGTTTAGTGTTGCATCACCATTTGGGACTGGATTTAACTTTTTTAGCGTAATAAAGAAGCAAGTATAACATCTCAAACTGTAGAAATGAACACAAAAATACAATATTTTAGTATGGAGCGATCAGCTGACTGTCACCCCCTGCAGGGCACTCTCTCTGCTCTGGAGAGCAGCTTCAGTGATAGACTTATTCACCCTCGATGTGTGAAGGAGAGGTTCCGCAGGTCTCTCCTTCCTGCTGCTGTCAGACTGTACAACCAACAATAAGGACCAATAAGGACTAATGAACACTGCCAACTTGATTCCAGTGTCATTCTCGCATCGTTGCAATATCCTTACCTTATACCAGAATGTGCAATACACAGCTGCCAATAGCTGCCATTATACTGCTGATAATGTACAGATGTAAACATACTACTGCTAATGTACAGATGCTAACATATAACTACACTTTACTTGCACTAGATTACACAGTACTTTATACTTATAATTTTTACATCTATTACATTTTCAAGAAGGAGATTTTATACTATATTATTGATGCTAGAGTTAGATTATTTTTATTTTGTTTAGTATAGCTATTTTTTAACTTAACGTGTGCTGTGTGCTCCTCTTTCCTACTGTCCTATAACCTGTGATGCAACACCGAAATTTGTATTAAAATACTGTCAAAGAAGAAGCCGTGTCACATTTTTAGGAAGACTGTTCCAGATTTCAGCTTTCTGAATGTACTGTATGTATTTATTTATTTATTGGATAGGGATAATGCACATTAATGAACATCAGAATAAAAAAAATGTAAATAGGCCGGATTATAGCTCCCAAGCTAGTTTTCATCAGTAGTCCCTATAGGCCGGAAAATACATAGGAAATGACAGCATACAATACAATAGAAAAAATAAAACAATAGAATACAGACAGCACAGGGAAAAGTGAAGAGTCTAGTGGTCACATGACTGGTTTATTTTCAGCCATTGTTTGATTTGAGTTTTAAAGGTCACCAGTGCAGGACTCTCTCGGCCTAATCTGAAATACTGCCTCCCCATGTTTAGTTCTGACTCCGGGATCAGCAGGAGGCCAGTCCCGGTGCTCCTCAGAGTCCCAGCAGGAGGCCAGTCCCTGTGCTCCTCAGAGTCCCAGCAGGAGGCCAGTCCCTGTGCTCCTCAGAGTCCCAGCAGGAGGCCAGTTCCTAAGCACTGGGAGTTTCCTTGCGTATGAACTGTGCCATACAAATAAACATGCCTTGTCCCGTATCCGGCCTGATGGTAAGATGACGGTGCAGTGGTTGTGCCAGCGCTGTCCAGGTTTGAGTCCATGTGTTTGTGCTCTGTTCCACCGAGATGCGTCCGATTTGGTATCAGAAGAAACAGCTCACGCCAGACAGACGCGCTGAGGTGTGAGCGGCGCCACAGCTGTGTCCGTGGGAACGAGCGAACGGGAACAGAGACGAGAGAAACACAAAATGTGGATCTGTGTGTTTGGAGTCTGGTCTTATCGACAACAGAATGTGACTGTGGGACGAATAAGACACGGTTTAGTCCAAGTTTCGTCCTGGTTCAGACAATGTTTAGTCCTGCTTCAGTCAAAGCTTAGTCTTGGTTAAGTCTTGGTTCAAAACTGGTTCAGTCCGAGTTTAGTCCTGGTTCAGACGTTGTGCACTCCTTGTTTAGTCCCGGTTATACCAGATAACTAGCAAAAATTGTCACATTTTTTTTGTTCTGAGAGATCTGTTTGAGTCGCTAGTAATAAACCCGACTGCTTCGCCAACAAAGGGGGTTTTGTGATTGTGTGTGTGTTTGTGTGTGTATGTATGCTTTTTTGGTGTATGCTTTTGTATAGGACAGATTGAGCTGAAAATTGGTGCGTCGATTTGATGCAATAATCTTAATCTTGGGATAATCCACAGTGTCGGCAGGGTATGTGCTCTCCGAGGGCACGTATTACAGTTCCTCTTTTTTGTTTTCCTTTTTGAATGAAAACCGTGATGTCCTTCGCGAGCCCCGCTGTTAAAGCTCCCGATTTGAAGCAGAGAGTTGGAGATTTGTTTGGAATGCTTTACTGCCCTCCATTTTCAACTGTTTATAATATTCTTTCTGTGTCTGCATATTTTCTCTGTGCACATTACTCATCAGAATAAAAAAAGGAACTATGAAAACCCCGACCAACTGTCCTTTGACAACAAGCGAGGACCCAAGGTATATTTGCATGGTCAATGCACGCCGCCCACCAACTTTTCCGAACAGTAGCAACTCTAGTGAATCAGCCCGAAACCAGTCACAAGCCGAACCCAGAACTATCCCTTTCTTGGTAGCACGTCTTTTTTATTTTGACTTTGAGACATCTCCCTATGATTTAAACAAAGAATGTTATCAGAGGTTTTAATTTTTGGCCATTTTTATGAGTCAAAGACAACCGATGAACGCGTTCCCTTTCTCCCCGCTTTTATCATTACCATTTTCTCCCTCAGACAAAGGAATGCATGTCTTCAGAACACGCACTCACTCTCCAGAGAACCCCGAAAGAGTTTGCAAGTCCATTCCTTTTGTGGAGAGCCGGTCGTGTGGGACCCAAACCCGGATGCTACTACTTCCTCCTGTATCGTAGCACCTCCCTGGTTTTCAGCAATTTTTTTGTGTTGGGGTAAAAATCGAACCCCGTCAACTCCCCTCTTCACTTGTTTTGAGTTACTGGTTGCATTGACTGCGTTTACAAAGAACTAGCCAAAACAGGATCTTTCGCTTAGTCTCTTTTACTTCGAACAAGACGCATGTAAAGCCGCTTGTGTAGGTGCAAAAAACAGTTGGTTAATCTGCTGTGTAGCTAGATCAACCAGATCCTGTTGAGACAAGCTAGCAGATGCATTTAAGAGCGCAGAAAAGCCATGCTCATAAAAGAAATGTTTTAGGACTTATATATCTACTCTACTTAAAGATATGGATGACAATACAGTCCCATGCTACACGTTTGTTTGTTTTGTTTGTTACTTGAGGCGAAAAAACATGGTTGTTTTTTTTGCGCCACAGAAATTAAACAACGTGCTGCTGTAGTTGAGCTTGTACGCTAGCATTTCTACCAAGGTAAAGTTACAAGACACTTTTGACAGTGCCACAAGTCCAGAGCTTATCCGCGGAGGGCACAGAGACAGGCTGCGAAAAGTGATGAAAAATATCTCAAGAATTGCTCAAATTTGGCAAAACATGTATTAGTTTGAGCTAATTTTGTCTGCCTTAAAACAGTGGGACAAGCACAATTATCTTGTTTTAAAAAGATACAAGAAACGTCTAAATTGGAATGCGAAATTAAAGCAACAGTTCTTAAAATAACACTAAACGGCTTTGTCCCTCTGGCAAATCTTGTTTTAAGACAGTCAGAAAATGCTCAAATTGTGATTAAAAAAAACACTCGATCCAAGCAATTATTACCTCATATTTTATCATTTTTTTGCAGTGTAATACCAAAACTTGTTAGAGCGGTTTGAAAATCAAGCCGAACAGAGAGCGGTCTCATAAAGTATGTATTCTAATGCTTTGTAAACGCAGTCAATGACCTTGTTCTCTACCCTTCTACCTAACACATGCACGTCCTTCTTTGGAGCCTTGACAACCCTCAGTTTGCATGCCGAAATAAATGCAAAACTTTTAATTTTTTACCCCTTCAAGCTTTTAATTTTGATTTTTAACTCACTGACTGCCAGGCATTTTCAGATTTGAGAAGTGCATTCTGCCAGCAATTTCAGGTGATTTGACCCAACTTTGAAGTGCCACAGAATATTCATTTTTTAGACGATGTAAACACCAAGGGCACCAAATTAAAGATTAACCTCTCTGCTTTACTCTGAAAAAAACAGTTTGTTTCTACCTCTTACCGTTCTTGCGTTATTTGCCATAGAACAAAGCATACTTTCACCCATAACACCTGGTCTGAGCAAGAAAACAGAGAAAACGAGCTGTATGTAAACAGGAACATATCAAGCAGAAAAGAGACTTTTAGATGCATTTTTGCTGCTTTAGTGACAACTCAAAACATCTTCACACTTGTTCCATTACAAAAATTATAAAAACATGACTCTGAAATAATACTTTTGATGGAAAATTGTTGGCAATTTATTCACAGATAGAAAATTTAACTTTCTTCTATACCATCAACCAAAACGTCAAACAACAACAACACAAAGATCAATAAAACTATAGATGTATAAAATAGAATGAAGCATGTGAATTTGAGTGTGTGTGTGTGAATGTCAGTGTGCGAGTGAGTGAGTGTCTGTGTGAATGAGTGTCTGTGTGTGTGAATGTCAGTGTGCGAGTGAGTGTCTGTGTGCGTGAGTGAGTGAGTGAGTGAGTGTGAGTGTGTCCGATAAATCATGATCAGGTTCTCTGAACGAATCCGAGGCATCAGTAACAACAGCAGCTGATACGCTGCGAGAGGCGGAGGGTGTGTCTCTGCTCTTGCTCCGCGCAAATGTAGCTGCAGAGACGGACCTCCACCGGGGTCTCCGCTCTCTCCCCTCTCGACCCCACTCACTGATCCGCGAGTAAATCCCTGAAGCAGTGTCAGCTGCTTATAACTATTCTTTTTCGCCATCACTCTTGCTATACTATCGCTAAACTAGATCGCTGATCCGTCTCAATGCTACGCTATCATCGCTCTGCTACAGCAGCACGCTGTCCAAAGACCCCACACTCCTCCTCCTTCTCTCCACTGACTTATGACCTCTCCTGTGGTGCAATACTGCATCCTACTGGTGGTGATTTATCATTACAGGTACATTTGCACTATATATCAGTGTTGTGGGTCATTCACAAGGTGCGCCAGACATTACTGCAGCCTCCCGTGTAATAACACGGAAAACTCGTCATACTCGTCATGGGCAGTGAGCGTCACTATTCAACATTACGAGTTTTGTCGTCATGGGCAGTGAATGAGTTAAATTCAGCCGGTTCCCCTCTTGGGTCGCTTTCCCTTTTTACCTCTCTCTCTGGTTCTCGAGTCTCACTTGGTGCGGGCTCGGCGGCTGACCGAAGGCGGCATGGTGGTGGAGGGGCGGGGGGAGGTAGCTGGCTTGACCTTTGTTGTGCCCCCAATCACAGGCAGAGAAAGTCCTCCAGTTCAGCCAGGAGACCAACTTAACGGCCCTGCTACTGGAGGCCAAAGAGCTGGAGGCCCGGGTCATCATCTTGTCGGCCAGGTATGGGAACAAATTCCTTTCTTTCGTCTTTTCTGTCGCTGTTTTGGTAAACACATTTACAAGGGCGGCAAGATGTGTGTGAATGTCTGTACAGTACCAAATGTTGTATTCTTGACAACAATGTATGTAATTATATGATTATGGCTGTTTAAGATAATCTTTTGACACATTCCTCACTGCATGACATTCACTATGATGCATGTAGCATTAGCCACATTAGCAAGAGTTAGCCACATTTGCATTACACTATAAAAAAACAAAACACACACGAAATTAATCAAGTATAAGAATAGCTCCCGCTCCCGTCTCTGTGTGGAGTGAGAGGACAAATGCTCACAATTGTAAGCCGCTTTGTGGCTGTGGTCTGTGAAAGGCGGTAAATAAATAAAGATTACTTACTTACTTACTTAATAACAATTGATGATATTATTAATCTGTTTTGATGACTTGCAACACTGGTCGACATTGAATTCAGGTCTTCCTTAGAGCACATTTTGTATTTGTGATTTCAAATAGGAAAAGGTCAAAGCACATTTAAATATAAACATATGTATCGCATGGATTTCATATTGTTTGAAGAAAACCAAACAGAACGATTAGTAAGCTAGTTAGTAAGATAACTAAATTGCAACGAGATAGGTTCACTTGATATTTCTAAACAATGGCAAGTTGAATACACCATGCGGCTCAAATTTATCTTTTGAGGGGTTCCCCAAGGTTCAATCATTGGCCTATGTCTGTTTTTTGTTTGCATTTTAAATTACACCTCGGATTTGCGTGTTCAGTCTACCCCTGACTGATCCACAGATTATTTACAAGACACTGTTACCCTCGACTACAATTGGACTCCAATAATATATCATTATGAATTAAAGCAAAGGAAGGTTTCTCACCCATTGATGGGTGAGAAACCTTCCTTTGCTTTGACTAATCCCTGTACGACTGAGGGCTTACACAAAAAAATCCTTATGAATTGTTCAATCCTAAAGTAGTGGACTATTTTGTCAAATTTAGTGAATTATCTAAAATACAAGCTATATGTCATTTAATAATTTCGGCCAAAAGTAATCCTAACAACACATTTCTGTCCAATATTCATTCTGAAACGGCTTCTGAATTCAACGAGCAAAGCGTTCCACCTTCGCTGTCAGTTCTGGAGCTGTTCAAAAGAGACTGCTAGAAATAGTCTTGTTTTATTCCCATCCAGAGAAAATGTGGTTATGTGAAAAGCCATTACGACTGTGGACGGAGCATGCATTTTTCAGGTCAAGTGCATTTCTCTTATGTATATACAGCAGGGCCGGCTCCAATTGGATGAATAATAGATGAAGTTATCGTGCTGGGCGAGTTAAAAACAGCAGAAAAAGCCTGCATAGTTTAAGGGAAGAAGGAAAAGCTCTATATATGTGGATTTTTTCAATGAAAGCCTCCCACTATCTCTCCATTCCCATTGACTTACACTTGTCCAACCAATTTTAACACTTGGAATTATTTAATGTTTTACAAAAGTAGAAAAGAAAATACAATATGTCCAGTGATACCATAATTAGGCCGCTGGATAACTTCCATCAAAAAGCTTAATTGATTTGCAGTAAGATTGGGTTGTGGAAATTCCAGAAAAATCATTAGCTTGGCAGTGCGGTGGCTGAGTGGTTAACGCTCAGGCATCATAGCAAGAGCGTTCGATTCTTCCTCAGGCCTTTCCTTATTTTCGCTGAGATGAAATTGGTCCTCTCTAAATTTTGAGTACGTTTTTTGGTTTTAAAAAGATGTGACGGAGGCCGACCATACATGCATGAGAAAACTCGAGATTTTGAAAAATATTGGTAGATATAATCCAAAAATATAAATAATCAAAATCAATTATTTACCTGGACTGTTGATTTTCTGAATGGGTTTTTATACCAAGAGCTAAGAACTCGTTGGATAGATTATACATAGTTCAATTTGTGGTTGAAAGCTTTAACCTCAACCTTTTTAATGCCTTTTTCTTATATTAGTATCAAAAATTGGCAATGCATCATAACGCACAGAAGGGCAAATCTCAAGCCATGTCCTCTGGTAGTGTCCAGTTGTCATTGCGGAGCCATTAGACCGTTCGAGAAATAGGCTGGCACTCGAAGCCTGGAGGGACTTGAGACTCTGGCCCTCGGATCACCCACGGGACCTGTCCATAAGTAATGTGCTCAAGCTCAGTGACTGAAGAATAAACCAATAATGTACATCTCTCTGAGCACATCATTCCAACTAGAGTCACTTCACTGCTTTAATGTGGCTGAAATAGTGGTTTTCCATAGGGAGTGACCATAATAAGAATTCCAGGGAGGCAAGGACACAAGCAGGAGGGCATTAATGTAATAACTAGGCACAAGGGAAGAAAATATTGATAAATGATCTGTAACAAGCCACTTTGTCTGCCTCTCTTAAAGGTGAGGTACCTAACATTTACATAAATATTTCATACATAGTTTTTGCCCCAGCAGAAAGAGTGAACAAAACACACCACAACATGCCGTCTATGTCACATTCAAAAGCAGGATATCTTTAGCATACATGTAAGAATGAGCCCTGTGAGTCACTATTTGACGCTTGGGGCTGAGATCTGATTGGCTGAGGGAGGGAGGTCGTCTCTTTTTCACTTTTGTGTCTGCCAAAAATACATGCATTTAAAAACTAGTGATATAAAAGCAAGGAACTGTAGCTATTTTTTTAATCAGATACTGTAGTTTCATTGTTTGCGGGATGAAATGTCGGCACCCTAGCTTTAACTCTCGCGCTTCCAGGATTCGGAAACTACAATGTTCTTGCCTGTGCATACAACTGTAGGATTTTATCTCTGTTTTTAACGCACTGCGGTTATTTACTATGTCAATCCCTTCAATCCTTTGTGTGATTTGAATTGTGTTTTTAATGGTGATTTTGGTGTTTGCCTTATGTGATGATTTCTGCCTGGTGTGATGTGGACTGTGACGCGCTTTGTGTTGGAAAGACGCTCTACAAATAACGATTGATGGCTGTGTACTGCTTTTCTACCTCTTTAACTGGTGCATGAATGTGACCGTGTCATTGTGCAGCGAGGAGGACGCCGCTGCCGTTTACAAAGCCGCGCGCTTCCTCAACATGACGGGCTCCGGATACGTGTGGCTGGTGGGAGAACGCGAGATGTCGGGAAAAGCCCTGAGCGAAGCCCCAGACGGTGAGCTCCTCCAGGATTAAGTGCAATTCACAGATTTTATACTTGTCTCAGTGAGCCTCAGGTTTGATTCCAATCCAATCAACTTACAAAGAAATGTGTACAAAAATTAAATCATGCAATTGTCATTCACTGCCTTCTGTAAGTCAAATCAATGCAGGCCAAAAACAATGGATATGAAATTAATAAAAGCAGAAAAATGGATGAAAATTTGGTTAAAACCAGACAAGGACTACACAACACATGAGCTAAAAACCAAAGAGTGAAAAGTGGGACTCAACACTTTAGGAGAAGACAGTAGCTCAGTTGGTGGAGCATTGGCCTTTGGGCTGGAAGGTCGTGGGTTTGAGCCCACCTCGGGACCTACTCCAACTGCTCCCACTCATGTCTGCTGTCATTGTGTCCTTGGGCAAGACACTTAACCCCACATTGCCTGAAGCTCGTGCTGAAACACCCAAGCCCTGCAGAGGATCGGCAAAAGTTAATTTTATCTTCTTAAAGCTACTGTCAGCAACTTAATTTTTAATGATTCTGAGTTCTGAATTCTGACAATGGGATACTATCGCCCGGTGGTCTGTCGAGGCGGGAGTCCCATGTGTGTGCGACAGGAAGAAGGCGTCCTTGTCCCTGTTGGTGCTACTATCCCCCATGCTTTCTGATTTCAAATGTCTGTCATGTGGAAAAAAGAAAATATTTGTTTGACCTCCAAGATGAAGCGTTTGTGTTTGTGACTTTCGTCTCCCATCACCAAATCCCTGTCCCAATCTATAACGTGGCTCAGATGTGTTTGCGTTTTTAACCTCCAATCACGCTGCTGCTGCCAAACAATATGGAGATCTGCAAAAGAGTATTGTTTTCTTTTGTGAATCAGTCAAAACGACATAAAAGAAACAAGAATCCATACAGTAAATTATAAGGCTTAAAATATGTATAATTTGCTCTATTCATAATTCATCAAACGCAGTGTTAAAGCAGAGAATAATGTTTTGGCTTCCAGTCCATGAGCCACTGCTTTGAATAGCGGCCCCTTTGGGATCCGTGCCTGCCCTCACAAAGGCCTCTCCGCTCCTCTGGGACTGGCTGACATCGCAGAGGAAAGTTCCACGTGGTATTTTCAAATCAGTGGGAGGATAAAAGAGGATTCCACTTCAATGGGCTCCAGCCGCTCTCTGTGCAGATGTGAGACTTGGTTTGGTTCAGACTGTGACTTTAAAAAAGGCCATTGTTATTTTTGCTTAAATGCTTCTTGCGCGTCAAAATTACCAGCAGTTTTCTGATTATTTTGAACTTGCTTAAACATGGAAAGAAGATCACATACATAGAATGTTTGGACTTAAATTTGATCTGCTTTGCATTTCTACATCTTGCATTTTAGCCAGCGTTGGAGCACAGTCTTGTACAGGCTTGTAGTTTGCAGCAAGTAGGTCCTGGGTTAGAGTCAAAATCCAGGCGTTAATGTGTGGAATTTGCATGTTCTTCCCTTGTCTGGGCAAACTGGCAACTATAAACATGTAAAATATGTATTAATGTAAAGAGCGAGGGGGTTTTGATGCGCCACGTGGAGAGAATGGAAACCCCACATATAGTATGGTATAGTATGGTTGTCATTTTTACAGGAACAATGTAATAGACATTAGCCAAAAGGAGAGATGCAATGTACCAGGCTGTACTAGCAGTGCTAATTTACACCTGTAGTCCCTGAGCAGGTCGTTGTAAAACAGTAAGATATTTGGGTCCGTCTAATGTCTAGAACTGGCCCTGATTGCTTTTATTGCGTGTATTGGTGGCAGGTCTGATCGGTCTGCAGCTGATCAACGGGAAGAACGAGTCTGCCCACATAAACGACGCGGTGGCCGTGGTGGCTCAGTCCATCCAGGAGCTGTTCGAGAAGGAAAACATCACGGAGCCTCCGCGGGGATGTGTGGGGAACACCAACATCTGGAAGACCGGGCCACTCTTCAAAAGGTACAGTTGGAAGTCAGAGCTGCATTGTTTTGGCGAAATATCTAATTGTGATATTTCGGAAAAAGATGAGATGTCTGCCTCAACAAGATGAAAGAAACTTCACAAATCTACAACTTGTGAGAAAAGTGATGAATGGCTTATCTTTAGCACCTATGTTATGGTTCTACCAGTGGGGGCGGGTCCCAGCTCAAAAGGGGCCAAAATGACGTGCGCTGACATGCTTGCAATACCACCCCGGGCCGATGGGGGTGGACCCAGAAGAAGAATTAGCCAATGCTAACATATAGCATTAGCAGACCTCTCAAAAACGTCTTTACAGGATGGACCAAAAGTTGGCTCTTGGCCCAAAGCTCTGTTCCACATGTGTGTCAATGCTGAGGGGGGTGATTTTTTTGGTCCACTCTAGTTTAAAAAAAGTGAATTTTTGAAGTCTCTCGTTCAAATGAATGGAGCTCTCGCTGGCTGACGCATGCGTAGATGTGTTTTTTCACAATTTTCTTTTTCTTTTTCTTTTTGGCCCATTAGTTAGAACGGCAGAGATAGGCGTGACTCTGTCCGTTAATATGTACGGTCTATGGTTTCTACAGAGACTCAATAAGTGTTGTTTTTTGCAATTTTCTGTTTGGGGTGAGCATAATCATGATTTGGATTCGATGCGACCTGGATCCTTCCATCTTTGTCCCAGCTTCACACTATCCATGTAACTTCCATAACCTGTTGCATATTTTTAAGTAACGATGGATCAATGATGGTGCAATAAAAATGGTTTGTCGAGTTAAAATGGGTCCGGCCCTCCTCTCTATGACAATACCCTTTTGTCTCTCTTATAGAATAATACGTAATTGCTCACTCCTGCCATAGAAGGTTTAGATCTTTTAACACTTCTAACACAAACAAGATCCAGCAGGTGAATAAGTAGCCAACCTCCGCTCCCTGCTGCTTCCTTTCAGAGTGTTGATGTCGTCCAAATACCCCGAGGGCCTGACGGGGAGAGTGGAGTTCAACGACGACGGAGACAGGAAGTACGCGCACTACAGCATCCTGAACTACCAGAAGAGCCGGCTCATCCAAGTGGGGATCTACAACGGCACTCAGGTGAACACACACACACACACACACACACACACACACACAGACACAGACACACTCATGCGCAGTTGCTGATTACATGCATATTGATGGGCATCTTTGCTTCGTTTTTCATGTTTTGACTCACCCGTTACAATAGGGATGGACAGGGAGTAAAAATTTCAAGTGCTACGTCCTTTCTTGTAACCAATTGTTGTTACCGTAAATAATCGTGGCCATTTTTAAATTTTGTTAGCTAGCACACGGGAATTTTGCTTAGTAGGACCGACAGTTTTAGAGGTGAAAATACCGGATGTGTCATACCAGTTATTTTTCAATAGGGATTCAGAATCCGTCAATAACCTGTGAAAGCGTACTACAGCAGTTTATCACTGAGCGAAGGACTGAACTTTGGTGAATGTGATGTTTGTGAATAACCCGTGTGCGTTGGCGGGAGGTGTGCGGATAAATGACAAGACACGACGGCCTGGACTTCAGTGGGCAGGCATTGATGGTTTTGCTTTTGTTGAAGTGGTTTGAACAGCTGACAGCATAGACATGTTGGTCCGTTTACTTTCTACAATTTTCATGTCTGACCGATAATCCGTCTATAGTGAAGAGGTCATGGGTAAAACTTGGCACATTTTCATAAACAAATTTACAAGGGTATTTTTTGGAAGCGGCCGAAAGAGGAGTTCAAGTCTCCTGTTTAGAGTTTAGAGTTTGTTAGGGTCATAAAAGTGTAGAAGAAAAATATTGCAATTTGGGATAGGGGGAAAAATATAGATTTTGTATTATTTTTCCAAATCTCCCAACCCTAAAAGTTTGCATACACGAGTAAGAAAGCGCTCTATGACTAAAACAATATACGCTTGTGAAAACTTGTGATTAAACATAATGGGTTTTGAGAGCAAGGATACATATATACAAAGATTATAATACATACTGTAGTTTTGATTTGTGGAAGGAAAGTTAGACACTCTGGTTTTAAGATTATTTATTGGACAGATCTGTTTGGACTGGTTCAGAATTGGATTGAGTTCTGTCTTAATGAAATGGGACCAAAGCCTATCTATTTAGGTCTATAGATCCGTTTGTGGGAGGCCTCAATGTGGGGCTCCCAGAGGTCTCTCATTGCCGATGCAGGAGCTAAGGACAGTGATCCAGGACACTTGGCATTCAACAAAATGTATGGACGTTATCAACATTTATGGACATTGGTCATCTGCCCTTCATAGACCAACAGTTCTATGTCTCATCATTGCAGTTCCTGAGTTTGAACTGTTTGATTCTCTGATCTGTGTTGGCGAATTTGACGGTTTTCCAAAAATAAGTCCTTCCATAATAGCTACTGTTGTGATTTATGGCTTTACATAAATACATTGAATTGAAATTATGATAATAGCATAAATCAATTGGTTTCTGCTCAATGGTGCTTTTTATACATGCGGTTTTCCCCATGCTGTCTTCAAGCTTTCCAACAGAACGTTATGTCCTGATCTCGTTCCCTCTTCTCAAAGTCCGGCCTAGTTTTCTATCTTTAGTTGCCCTTGTGCAGGACTGCTGTCCCATCCGATCTCCCGTCTCAAACTGACTCTGGTTTTGACTGCGGCGTTTAGACTCACATTTATTCATTCATGACATATACTTTAGCCCGTATTAAAACACGGTCTGAATCTCAAGTAGAGCTCTGGATTAAATGAAATATGAATTGGTGAATTGAGTGGAAAGTTGGAGAAGTCGGAGCTGAATGGGTGCTGACTAAAACATGACATTAAGAAGAGTCCAAGTCTTTGCCCTGTGTGGTAGAGTAGAAGCAAAGACCCCAGGGACAGATGACTTTCTCAATGGAATAGGCCACCGTTTTTACATACTGACATATGTTTTTACCTTACCTTAGACTAGTTGATATGTACCTGTCTGGTCTTTGTCCGTGCGCTCTGTCATGCAAACGGAACACAAACGCAGCCTCTTCCACATACTGTATAGTTCCAAATCAGGTCCCGTGACGTGTTACACTACAAAGTATAGTAACACAGAAATGTAACATGTCGATATTCTCAGCGGATAAAAAGGGGTACTATATTGTGAGGCGTAATAATACGAGGAGCACTTCGTTCACTGTAACTGTGTTTAAATAGGGAACACGTGGAAGAGTTTGGTAGCTTCTAACAGGAGCTGATTTGTTACTATACAGTATGTGGAAGAGGCTGCGTTTGTGCTCCGTTTGCATGACAGAGCGCACGGACAAAGACCAGACAGGTACTGTACATATCAACTAGTCTAAGGTAAGGTAAGAACATATGTCAGTATGTCAAAACGGTGGCCTTTTCCTTTCAAGGCTTTTTCCCATTGGGACGATTGGGTACGCAAACGTCAACAAAAACCCAATTTAAAAAAAAAAAACACACGCACATACAGGGCCCAATACTCTCTGACCCTACACCACTCTCGAACCACTTCTTCTGTACTTCTTGAACCACAGGCCGTATATTAGGGGTGGACTGACCCAGTTCTGACATCACCATTGTGGAAGCCTAAATGTGGAAGAATCCGTGTTGAACATAAGCTAGTTGGAGACAGTTTCGCGCCGTAACAGGGACAGACGTGTTGCTAAGACGGTTGCAAAGGCAAGCTGGAGTTTCCTCCGCAAATGAAGGCATCCGATTGGTTAATCTTTACGTGCCTCATATCTGGATTAGGGATGTAAAAAACTATGAAGCTTCATGACCGACCACCGAGCCTCATTAACCGGTTGAAACCGGTTAACCGCGTAGTTAAAAATATTCCACGTTCTTTGAAATAACAGCCATTTCGAGCACGTACTTCTCATAAGAGCAGCTTTGCGTTCTACTGGATCAGAGCCGAGACAGCGGCGCCAAAACTCGCAACAGCTTCAGCACCTTTGCGCACAGAGAATTGCTTTTTTAATCTTTCCATACTTCTGTGCTGCGGGTTAACACTTTATAGCAGCAAACAACGGCTCGTCCGCATGGTCAGAGCAGCGAGTGACGAGCCGCGTCTCGCAGGTCTCTGCTAAAGTTTAAAAGTGATGTGTGTGGAACTGATCTAATGACAAGGACCAGCAGCACAAACATGGTCCATGTGGATTGACTGAAGCCGCGTATTTGGATACTTTGGGCTGCGAGACAGAGGCGCGCGACAGACCGGTGTGTGTGTGTGTAAATGTAAGCTCCAATGTAGTTCTAACCCACGCTAGTGTGCAACTTTGGCGGACAGAGGGGAGAGATGATGTGTGTGGATGTTACTGTACGTATCAATGGAGGGGGGAAAGTGTGTGTGTGTGTGTGTGTGTGTGTGTGTGTGTGTGTGGCGCGTACGGCATGAGAGTCAGCCCGTTTACCAGTTTACTGATATATTGGCGCACACAGCTAGAGACAGACCCGCTCGCCACACCGTGCAAATAGGGCTTAAAATAACGTTATTAAGAGACCTCCCTTCTCCCCCTTTTCTTTTTTTTAACCGACAGCTTTGACCGGTTAACGCTGTGACGGTCAACCACCGGTTAAACAGTCACCGATTTACATCCCTAATCTGGATTTACAAAGATAATTAAAAAATAAAACCCCCGGATCACAGAGAGCGCAAACACACATTCTCTGAGCCCAAAATTGGTTACTGAGCTAAAAGAGTTTACTTTTCCATGTGAGTCAATAGGAGCCAGCTGGAGCTAAACTGTGTCCTTGAGCACTTCCCTTTTGAGCAGCCTGTATACAATGTTAACCCCAAAGCTTAATTTCTATGTAATTACGTTGATGAAAATATCTTTGAAAAGATGAAAGTATTTTGGAATTGTGAGTAGTCTTACCTTTAACTCCCTTTATCTGAATATACTTTTTAAATTTAGCCATTTCCGGTTGCTTGGAAACCAGTATTCTATGGTCGGTAAAGCTACTTCTCTCCACGGTGCTGGTCCTGGTTCTGAGCCGAGACAGTTCATATTCCAACAGAGAAAAGTGAGTGCTAGTCACAGATAAACCACATTTCATTAGTTCTACATTTTTGGTCAAAAGGTCATCTTTTATAAGTAAGTATTTTTATTTATATATAGCGCCTTTCACAGACCAGAGTCACAAAGCGCTTAACTGTTGTTGTGGGAATTTTTCTCTCACTCCACAGAGAGAAGGGAGTGAGGTCGCCAGTACAGGAGGCGCATGCCAGACCTATTGTGCATGTATTTAGTGGTAGGGGAAACTGGAGCACCCGGAGGAAACCTACGCAAGTATATCTTACATATCAAACTATATAGATCAACTAAATCATGGAATTTTAATGTTTGGAGATTTGTAAACGGTGCATTTGTTGGCTCGTTGTCAGCTGATAATGTCATCGCTCTTAGTGTCTTTTTTTGCAACATGAAAACTGTAAATCTTTGAGAACCGTCAAAATGACTGCTCTGGGAGTTCTTCCTCAGTGCAGTGGAATTGAACATTGATCCGTAATCCCCTCAGTATCGTGTAAATACAGGGTTTACATCTCTCTGACCACGCGAGCAGAAGGTCCGATCGTGACACGGGTTAAATAGATTAATCCACACCAGGTCACATGACCCAGACGACGCGCTCTGATTGGCTCCCGCTCGACTCACAGATAATGATTATTTACTGTGTGGCAGATAATGATACAAACAGACATGTGGAGCATTAGTCATGTACATCCCAGCACAGACGCCGAGCAGAGGGATGGGCTCAACTGGTCCTCGGTCTGGGAGGTCTGGGATCCGTGGAACCAGATCCTGATCCAGTTTGAACCGGTTATCCTGGGTCAGGGAGAGGATGCGGTCATGAGGGGTCACCAGCCTGAAGGCCATGGTCACTCACCAGCAATTATAACAAAGAAATTGCATCATCTTTTTCTTCATTTTCTTTTTTATTTAATTATTTATATATATATTTTTATTACTATATACTCACTAACCATAATCTTTTTGTTGTTGTTGTTGTTTTTAATATAATGTGCATTGTGGTTGTTGCCTTGTTGTGTTTTTTACTTTTTTATTATGAAGTTCTGACCAATCAAATTCTATAAGCACGTATAAGTATATATATTTAAAAAATAAAAAATAAAATTTAAATCTTTCTGGGGTCCACATTTAAAAACAGAGCCAGTAAAGTAAAAAACAACACATTAAAGAGGTTTTCACAGGCGCAACATGCTGTACAGTACAATAGTATTCATATTTGTAGATCCCAACCTTTTTTTTCCCTGCATCCTTTAGCGCCACCCTGAGGCTAAGAGTCCATACAGCACCTGCTTAACTGAGCCTGTGTGCTCCCTGACACCTTATTATGGCCATATAACCCATCTGCCAAGTATGTTTTTGTTTGCCAGAGAAAGGCTATACCAAACAAAATGTACCAGTGATACAACATTGAAATGACAAATATGTAAAAACATCACTGCATATTCCTAAAGTAAAGCATATTTATATTTCATGGTCTTCAAATCCACATTAAATCCACATTGTTGTCCTTATTCTTCTTTATTTAGTGTTTAGACCTCCTCGCTGCGTGCCGCCATTGTTGTTGAAATCAAACGGTCGCTTCGGTGCTACCTCACATCTATGAAATCCCGCCCGGCGATCCTGATTGGTTCGTTAATTTTTGCTGTCTTGAAGTAGCTTGCATTTCTCCCAATCCCGTATTCTTGTGTGGAGCTCGGTGAAACGACTCTGGTTGAGCACGGCGGAACTACAAGGAGCTGACCAGAGCTCTACTAGATTCAGACCGTGATTTAGTTACTCATAAAGTGATCCACCAAATGGTTGAGGAAAACATTGAAGGGTTGAACTCGGGTGAACACGCACTAATAATTACGCCAACTCACTTCAACCCGTAAATATGGTCGACACAATCAGATAGAGAAGTGGAAAGGTGCAGAGCTCTCTCCCCCATATCCTCCCCCTCCATCCGTCCCCCATCTCTGCCAGAGAGGCCTTCACCGCTTCATGCATTATTTCTACCACAGAGAACAGACACTGACACATGACTGAGGCCTCTTCAATAGTTTATAGGCTGGATCTGCTTCAGGACCAGAGGACGGGAAAAAAAAAACGTGGAGATGACAGAATGAGCCGCGATTATAAAGTATTCATATCTATTAATGGCTTAACTGACTTTTCACAACTAATGGAAGGGTTAGATGCCCCAGTAGTTTGAGGGTGAGGGGTCGCAGTATAAGAATAGCTCCCTCTGCAGTCTTGCTTCTGCAGGACAGCATTGTGTTAGCGTAATAAAGCCCCCTCGTCCTGGTTTACAGTCATACAGGCACGTTTTTGTATTTTCCATAAACCGGGATGAGGGAGCTGTTTTTACTCTCGCACACTCGGGACTTAGAATTGAAAAAGTCGGGCTGCAGATGGCGCTGTAGTCCTGCCTCAAAAATTGTGTAAAACAGCTGATAAGACATGTCATAGGAACATCACGTGACCACTTGGAGGAAGCGGAAGTCAAAAAACACACCTTCATATACATTCCACATCTTTCAGAAGACAAAATGAACCCTGTTGGACTATTATGTCATTGCTTTTTTCCCCTTCACTTTCACCCACTCAAAATGATATTTAGAGATGCATATTGAAGTAACCCATATACACGTTACTCATACGATCGGCCTATAAACGCCCACTGCTCATGTTTTATCTTTGACCAGATTCTCACAGTTACCGGAAAAGCCAATACATTAATGCATACTTCCTATTTTGGTGCAAACACAGATGGATTTAAAATGTGTGTGTGTGGTGTGCAGGTGGTGATGAATAACCAGAGGAAGATCATCTGGCCTGGAGGAGAGACGGAGAAACCACAGGGCTTCCAGATGTCCACACGACTCAAGGCAAGTCTGTCTCATATCCTGGTACTGTTAATCACCTTAGATACTGTACGATTAAATACAAAGTTTTTCCCGCAAGGAGAAATTCAAGTTCCTATGATTAGTGAATGCAGACCCCAAGAGAAAAGGCCTTAGCAGAAGCAGGCAGCAGCTGGGATAAAATGGTTGTCCTTGTCAGATTGATGTCCTTGGGATGATAGACCACCACGTCCTGGGTGCTCTCCCTGCCACAATCTCATAACACCAAGTTATTCACAGTCCAGTATCACTGTGACAAGTTGATCCTAGACTCCTAACACAATGAGCTAACCTTTACCTTATTCTGAAAGGTATATGGGAGGATTTTCTTCTTCCCGGTGGATCGACCAGTCTCCTGGTTTGGTCCTCCTATTTGTCCATCATTATAGTGATTTGTGAGACATGTTTTAATAGGCGGTTCTGAACCCTACTTTTAACCCTTACCACGTTGAACCCTAGTCCTAACCCTTGGTGTTGGCTTGTAGTAGTGAGGCTTCTATACTCCGCAGTAACTGGAGAGCCCATGACAGAGACTTGAGAAAGCAAACAACAGAACTAGACAGTGGCTCAGTTGGTAGAGCATTGGCCTGCCCGAAGGTCGTAGGTTCAAGCCCACCGCAAGACCCTCTCCACTGATGTCTGCTTTCATTGTGTTGTTGGTGAAGACACTTAACCCACTTTGTCTATAAGGAGCGCGGAAGAAACAGAAATTTCCAAAAAAGGACCTTCTTCTTCTATTTTTTCATTGAAAAGTAGAATGGGACAGAGCCATGGTCTTCTTTCAAGACTTGTTGGATTATTTTCTCATTCCAAGAGAGACATGTGTTGTATCTTTTTGAAAAAACAAGATAATTATGCTTGTCCCATTGGCCCTTGTGCCTTTTGCCTGTGCTCTGTATGAAACCGATTGGCCTCGCTCCCGTCTCTTTGTTCGCCATAATGTTTGCTGAGAGGTTGCGTTCTAACATTATTCCGACACTGTCCTGCAGATAGTGACCATTCACCAGGAGCCGTTCGTGTACGTAAAGCCCACGCAGCTGGACGGCACGTGTGGAGAGGAGATGACCCCGAACGGAGTCCTCATCAAAAAGGTCATCTGCACCGGGCCCAACGAGACCATCCCCGGTAACCGCTCCAGCCGGCAGAACGAAAGCTGAGATATTTTCATTTTCATTTCACTTATTGTTGTTTGGTCGTTCACAGTCATTACAGTTTCAATCAAAACAAACGCAATGAAGTCGGAGCATGACCGGGCACAGACTGAGTTATTGAGCCTCCCCTTATCTACCTAATCCAATCAGACGTTTTTCATTGTCACCCTGTCAAATATTTATCCATCATTGATTTCATGAGAATATTTTTGAGCTGAAACAGAGAAGTAGCGCCTTCATGCTCATCACATAACTGTTCCATAACTGAACATCTTTACTGGATAGACCATTTCTCCATCTGAATCAGAATCAGAATTACTTTTATGTCCATGTAAGTGACATGAAGTCACAGAGTAGGAAATTGCTTTGGCTCCCGGTGCAAACAAGTCAAAAGTACAGAAAGAATCAGGCATAATTAAATATTTCTAACATACAAACAAGAACTCTCCTTAATTATATCGACTCTCAGTAAACACAACCTGTAAAGACTGAAGGATTATCTTAATTTTAACTCGTGAACAGGTCGACCAAATCGTAGAACTTCAGTATTTGTCAGTGAAGAACTAATGGATTATAGGAGAGTCTATGGCGCACCATCAATCCGTCTAATTGCCTTTTATTGCAACAAAGAAATCGATTCAGTCCCAGTTTTTTTATGTATTTCCCAAAATCTCAATGCCATATGTTCGGTATTGGATGATGAGAGAACAACAAAGTAAATGCAATGCTTTTGTTTAAAATACATTTCAATTTGTCTAAGATCGCTATAGTTTTTGAGCTGAGATAAGTGTGACCAAGTCCAAATATCTGGCTTTGAAGAAAGGGGAGGATGAGTTTCAAGGCAACTGGCAAAATAGAATAAGGTTATCACAGGTCTAGCCCGGTCTTATCATACCATCGTACTCAATTCATTCGTACTAAGGTCTGGATTTGCTCCGTTGAGCTCCGTGAAAAGGTGGCAGGGGTTATATCCTTTCGCAGATAGAAATCACTACAAAATTACATTTCTTTACATCAATTGCATGTATTAATCGTTCTGTTGTGTTTGGCGTCCAGGGCGTCCCACGGTCCCTCAGTGCTGTTACGGCTTCTGCGTGGACCTGCTCATCAAACTGGCCATGACCATGAACTTCACCTACGAGGTTCACCTGGTCGCTGACGGCAAGTTTGGAACCCAGGAGAGGGTGAGTGTTTGGGTTTGTGAGGTACAGACTCATGATACAACAGAGACGGACAGACACACAGACTGAAGTGAGGAGATTCTTTGTTCCATGGTCGGACAGAAAGGCAATTGTATTTGTATTTGTACAGCACCGTTCTGTTTATTCGTCGCGAAGCGGGGAAATTTCAATGTCATGGTTGCGCACATTGCAGCAGATTAAAAAGTAGCAATGAGTGAGCGGTTAAACAAAGAGACACAGGGTTGAAAGCGTTTTGATTATCGGTGTGATTTAGGCTGTGGTATCTGATCTTTTATTTCTGTGATAAATACACATATATTTAAATGTATTAAAGCATTAAGAGGCCAAAACATCTGCTTATGAACAGACCTTAGTGTTTACATTTGAGAGTCGACAAACCGGCTCCCTGAAGAAGAATGTGTTATTGAGTCCAGAGATCGTAGGTCGTATTTGACATTTTCAGTTTCAGATTTTCATATCATGTTTCACTGGTAGGGGCGTTTGTTCATTCTTAGTCTTTCTGTCTTTCCATCTTTTCCATCTTGCAGGAGACCCAGGTTACAAAGCTTAGCCTGTAATTTGGCTTTATTCTGTTTTTATACATTAAATCTTCTTTTTTATATCTATGCAGAGTCTGATCATTTCCACATCAGTGTTTGTGCGGGAGGGAAACCAGTCAGCCACATCCATCATTTACTACAAGGCTTTGAATGATAATTTATTTGGCAGAAGGCACAAATAAATCAGAAATATATGGATGCTCTAGACCCGGGGAGACAAACTCAAGGTCAATCAGAATGTGGCTTTTGGTCTCTCATCAAATTTGAAAATAAATAATCCTGTTGTATTTAATCAAGAATCTACGTTTAATCCACGGTAGGAGCGAGATCCCACCCTCAATGTTTCTCACTTTTAAGACATTTACAGACATCTATTTACAATTATAGTTCATCCGCCTCTTATGGATCAATGGCTCTATCTATTTTTTTATTGTTGCATTTTCTGTTTGATTCTTTGATATTTGTTGGCAAATCAACATTTTTTGTCAAGTCCTCCAAGATAATTACTGTTGTGATTTTGGGCTATACAACAATACATTTAATTGAGCACTTTTGACTCCAGTGCTTTTCAATTAGTTTTAATGGTTTATCGTTAAAAATAGTATTAATGTTAAGGCTAATTATTTATCTCGCAGGCCTGGAGCGAAGGAGGGGAGGGAGGGGTGGTAGTGTGACATTACTCGACAAATACCACATTTTCACCTTGTTTCTCCCTTGATGTCTCTTGTCTGCTGTTGTCAGTCCATCTTCTGCTCTATTCACATAAACGCCCTCTGTGTACCCTCCTTCCTCCAGCCACAACCACTATCCTCAGTCCTGTCTTCACCACCAAAATCATCATCATCATCTTCATCTTCATCAGCAGCAGCAGCAGCAGCAGCAGCAGCAGTCTCCTCAGCCTCTCCACCCTCCCCCCTCCATCCCCTCACTCCAGCCCTGATGTGGTCTTCGGTCCGAGCTCCAGAGTCAAGTCTCCGTCATCTTACATCACTCCATTTCTGTTTGTCCGTGTGAAGCTGTTGAGGAACATAGGTACAGAGATTCAAAATGTGTACATTTATTTTAGACCACGACTAGAATTCTACTGATCTTTAAGTTAATTCAAGCTTCAAGTTTTCTTCAGACATTTTTTTCAAACCAGTGAAATATTGTAGGTCATATAACTGATATTCAGATATATTTATAAACAATTCAGGTTCAGTAAACAAATGTTGGCCCCTTATCTATCATTCGAACAGAAACACAACACTATTAATGCATTTTAATTTAATTTATTGAAGATGAATTGTTGATAACATCAGACATATCAACCTTAAATTAAGCTATAAGGTTCCAAATATTTAAATCAAAATATAGATTTACTGGTTCTAACTGTTTGAGGTCCTATGCAAAAGACAGCAAAAATGTAGAATACTCTCTGTTAAGGTGTTTTTCATTGGTTGCAGGTGAACAACAGCAACAAGAAGGAGTGGAACGGGATGATGGGGGAGCTGCTGGGGGGCCTGGCCGACATGATCGTGGCTCCACTCACCATCAACAACGAGCGCGCCCAGTACATAGAGTTCTCCAAACCCTTCAAATACCAGGGCCTGACCATCCTGGTGAAAAAGGTACGACTCCAAACAAGAACCAGGGCCATATAAGTCCAATATCCAGCCAAATAACTGTCATCATAAGTATACATAGTAAAGGCCTTTTAAAAAAACGCTAAATATTCTAAGCACAATTTTTGCCGATACTTAGAGAAAATCTGTCGTTGCTCCCGCTCCGCTATAGTAGTATAGTGGAGTATAGTGGGTTTAATGGATGTGTTGAGTCTGTAATTTAGTAAAAATAGAGCTGGAGTGGGAGGTGTGTGAATATGCAGATAATCCACAAGGAAGAAGCAGGCTGTGAAATTAAAGTAACAGCGCCTTTAAGACTGGGGGTGCTCTACACTCTTAGCTTCTGCCCACTCCTTTTGAATTCAACACGGTTCAAAAAAAAGAATAATTAAGGGCAGCACAATGTCTGAGGGGTTAGCACTCTCGCTTCTCAGCAAGAAGGCCCCTGAATCCCGGTCAGAACAGGATCTTTCTGAGTGGAGTATGCAGATTTCCTTCAGGTGCTCCAGTTTCTTCTTCCACTAAAAACATGCACAATAGGAAAAATCCTCCAGCTCCGGTCCTGACTAAGCCTAGCATCAAGATTTGGAGACAGGTCCACAGGCGCTGTATGGCCACGGCTCCGATAGACGCTGTAGTGGCATCAGGATGGGTCAAACGCAGAGGATGTAGCTTTACCTTTACATAAATAAAGCATATTTGTCAATTCTAAATCCTTTGACGGGTTTGTGCACTACAGTAATGCAGTTTATTATATGACTTGGATCGTACGCGCGCTCTGATTGGTTGATTTGCGGTCTGATATTTTCCCATCTCGGACCGTTACCATGACAATTGGTCCGCGGCGCGTATCAAATTTGATATCTTTCCTTGGTAAAAAAAAGAGATAATGAGCGACGACTGGGAGCATTCTGGAGGGTGAATTCTATTATCTGTTCGAAGAGCCAAAGGTAGTAATAACGGCAAATAACGACGAAAACACAACTTCTAACAGTAAAGAAGAGATTGACAACTTTGTTACAGACCAGAAAGCTAAAAATACGATTAAGAAAACCAAGTCGGACATGAACATACTTAACAAATATCTAAAAAGCATTGGAAAAGACACAAAAGAGATTGAGAACTTACCAGCGGGCGACCTCAATCCTCTGATAAGCAAGTTCTTCATGTCACGATGAATAAGCCGTTAATATCATGGTAGTACTGTGTATAATTGACGGGTTTGTGTATTACAGTATTACAGTATATCACAGTAACAGAGTATATCATTGACGGTCCTGGTCCTGTGTATTGTGCGTGATTGCAGGAGATCCCTCGCTCCACGCTGGACTCGTTCATGCAGCCGTTCCAGAGCACGCTGTGGTTGCTGGTGGGGTTGTCGGTGCACGTGGTTGCGGTGATGCTTTACCTACTTGACCGCTTCAGGTACAAGAGCGCCTCAGTCTGTGTGTGTGTGTCTCATGCCCCAGATCTTCCCTCAGCGCGGAGCCAGACGACAGCCAGGGGAAGATTGGTATAAAGCTCATCCCACAGCTCTGTCCCCGCACCCCGCCTCCTGTCCGTCAGCTGTCCTCTCTGTCCTGGGCCCCATGTCCACACAAACGTAACCGTACTTAAAGGGGACATACACGTAGACTGTATATAGATGGGCGATGCTAACCTGCTAGCTTCATGCAGCTCAATAGTGATGAGTGCTCAAGGAAGTTTGGGTCCTACTCGCTCTGGTTCCTATTGGTTCCTTCAGTTTTTTCACATTCACCGTTTCGGGGTAGGTTGCTAGGATACGACGACCGATTGAAACGCAAACAGGTAGAGTAGAGTAGAGCCGAGCAGAGTAGACTACGGACAAGTAGAGCTGGTGTGAACGGTATACAGTAAGCCCTATTTCCACCAGCCCTACTTGGCCCGACTCTTCTCTACTCTACTCCTTTAAACCACACTTATTATAAAGTTTTACCACATCTGTATAGTATTTCTGGATTTTTCCGGTCCAGTCTCGATGCCTGAGCGTGCCATGTTATAGTAGATGTAGAATCTTTAAAGCTGATTGCACATTCTCACTTCTACCATAAGATGAGAGGGTTTTTCTTATCACGCTTATTTCAATATATATGTACATTTGTATATTTTCTGCTTGAAGCTGGGATACCTAATTTTCGAATCACCAAAATGAAACTATAACATCTATAAAACTAGTTCCTTGCTCTGAAAAAAGTATTCGTATAACTAGTTTTTTTGGCCTCTGTCACGAGACTAGATCCGATTTTTTTCCGACAAGGACCAGCCCATGGTGACTCACAGGGTTCTTTCTTACAATACAAAAGGTAAGGCAAGTTTAATTGTATAGCACACACAAGGCGACTCAAAGGGCTTAACAAAACAAGATTTTAGCTGCATAAATCTGAAACGTTGCCTCCCCATGTTTAGTCCTGACTCTGGGCACCAGCAGGAGGTCTGTCCCTGTGCTTCTCTCAGTCCCAGCAGGAGGTCTGTCCCTGTGCTTCTCTGAGTCCCAGCAGGAGGTCTGTCCCTGTGCTTCTGAGTCCCAGCAGGAGGTCTGTCCCTGTGCTTCTGAGTCCCAGCAGGAGCTCTGTCCCTGTGCTTCTGAGTCCCAGCAGGAGCTCTGTCCCTGTGCTTCTGAGTCCCAGCAGGAGCTCTGTCCCTGTGCTTCTGAGTCCCAGCAGGAGGTCTATCCCTGTGTTCCTCTGAGTCCCAGCAGGAGGTCTATCCCTGTGCTCCTCTGAGTCCCAGCAGGAGGTCTGTCCCTGTGCTCCTCTGAGTCCCAGCAGGAGGTCTATCCCTGTGCTCCTCTGAGTCCCAGCAGGAGGTCTGTCCCTGTGCTCCTCTGAGTCCCAGCAGGAGGTCTGTCCCTGTGCTCCTCTGAGTCCCAGCAGGAAGTCTGTCCCTGTGCTCCACTGAGTCCCAGCAGGAGGCCATTTGTTATTTTTTTTTAGTTCTACAAACAAAACTCATTATTTAAGGGGGAAAAGTTAGGTACCCCAGCTTTAAGAGACCAGCTCGACAGTTAGCCACATCTGTAAGTCATAGTTTACATCGCATAACAAATTTTGCTCAGTACACGGAACAAAATTTGAGTAAAAGCTGAAGACATGACATTATAGCGAGTAGCCCTCAGTGTGGACGTGGCTGTGTGTGTCTTCTGGCTTGGCTCGCTCATGAACGGTCTCCCATCCGGGCGGGTCCACGCTGTCCCCCATGCCTGTGTCTCACTGCCTGTCTCTGTACGACCCTCCCTCCAAATGCAGCCCGTTCGGACGATTTAAAGTGAACAGCGAAGAAGAGGAGGAGGACGCACTCACGCTGTCGTCGGCCATGTGGTTCTCATGGGGAGTGCTGTTGAATTCTGGGATTGGAGAAGGTAGGCCATGGCAGACTTTACTTAAGGATCAGTTTAAACCAGGGCTGTAAAAACTGGTTCCAGACTGGGCTCGCTTGAAATGGGTGGAGTCTGGTGAGCTCCGGCATGGTTGGAATGAAAACCCGGAGCTACACTGGCCCTTTGACGACCAGTTTGAGACTTCTGGTTTAAGCAATATGAGGGGATTTAATGTTTAAAGGAGCAGTAGGTAAAAATCGGACCAAAAATGGTTGCCAGATATGCAGAGGAATCCAGCTGGGACCATAATATCTGAATAGACAAGAGTTTTGTCAACAATAAATCTATAACCAACACTTTTTCACAAAGGCCTCAATAGAAATCCTCATTTTATTCCTTGTTTTGAGAATCATAACGAGACCTTTTGTAGTAATGACATGTCACTTTACCAGTGAGATTAGCTCAACGCGGTGAGTTCTGGCAGCCCGGAAAACAAACTTTCTGATTGGTAAAACGGTGGAGGGCGGGACATCAAAATGAAAACAACAACAAGTTTTAGGGTGTGTTAATAGAAAATCAAACGAGAGAAAAAAGTCTTTTAATCTTCTCACATCATGTTCTTTTCCCTTATTTTGACCAAGTGGGTGATAGATGGGTCATTTCCAAAGGCACACCAAACAACATATTTAGGCACCCTAACATGCCACGGCCCACTGGTTGAAAAACACTGCACTATACTGTAGAGATGTTTTGTGTAAAAGAAATATGTTTGAACCTTATAACCACAATACACAGATAAAACAGTATGAAGAACATTATGGGCTTCTCCCTCTGTGAGCTGTGGTGAGAAAAATATGACAAAAATCTGTAAGTTTGAGGTAAAAATATATGAAATAAGTCAAAGTTACATTGAAATAATACAATAGCACGAATCAAATGGTAAATAGTGGCCACGTATTATTGTTTCCATTTGATCATTTTTCCTGTCGGGCCACTCCTGCCTCTCCTGTCTTCGCTCGCCTGAAGCTGACTCGACACGTGTTTTGTAGGTGCTCCGAGGAGTTTCTCCGCCAGGATCTTGGGAATGGTTTGGGCCGGTTTCGCTATGATCATTGTGGCCTCGTACACTGCTAACCTGGCTGCCTTCCTGGTGCTGGACCGACCTGAGGAGCGCATCACCGGCATCAATGATCCCAGGGTGAGTTCCTCTGAGACCAGAGGTTTGCAATGGCCCTGGTTAAACTTACTCTCTTTACTCCTGACATATGTAAGGAGGAAGTTAGGTGAGTTAAGAAAGTTAGGCAGCTCGATGGAAACTCATAAACATCATTATGGAGGAGCCTGCAGCAACGTCGAGAATAAAGCTTTCTATAAATGGAAACTTTATTAATTGATGATGTATTTAATCTGAATAACTGTTCTGCTTATAAATTGTTGTTGATTCTTTTTAACATTGTTTTTTTACACTGGTTTTGGACCTCTGATGCACTCTCCCACAACTTTCCCATGAAATTAACTATAGTTGTTGTTTTTTAGCTGAGAAATCCGTCAGACAAGTTTATCTACGCCACAGTGAAGCAGAGCTCTGTGGACATATACTTCCGGCGGCAGGTGGAGCTGAGCACCATGTACCGACACATGGAGAAGCACAACTATGAGAGCGCAGCGGAGGCCATCCAGGCCGTGCGAGACAAGTGAGTGTGTGTGTGGGGACGGGGCCGAGCCTGGGGCCGGCTGGAGCCTCAGGGAGAGGGCATGGGCCTGGAGCACAGAGAGCTGAGGCCTTACACAGTCTGTGACCCTGGTCCATGCACAGAGGGACAGCAGACTGAGTTAACTGTGAGTCCAGGAGCGTTTCAGGTCTGGTCCAGGCGCGGGGCGACCACTCCTCCTCTGCCATAGCAGCCGAGACGCTGGTAAACGCTGACCGACACACAGCATGTGGCGTGAGAGCGTGCTGGAGCCATGAATGTGTTTGTAAATCATTGTACTGTTGCACCGTAACCCCTCCTCCCCCTCCCCTCTGCCCTCCCTACCCCCCCACAGCAAGCTGCATGCCTTCATCTGGGACTCTGCGGTGCTGGAGTTTGAAGCCTCGCAGAAGTGCGACCTGGTGACCACGGGAGAGCTGTTTTTCCGTTCGGGCTTTGGCATAGGCATGCGCAAGGACAGCCCCTGGAAACAGAATGTGTCCCTGGCTATTCTCAGGTCTGTCCCAGCCGAAGATGCATTACTCGTATGATTTTAACTATTGATATTAAGTTCATGGTTCTATCCATACACCAAGAGGTGTGGACCTGACATGAATAGAATGATTCTATATGTAGAGCAGTAATGACTGTGGTGGTCCTGGTCAAACACGACATTTTGAATACCATCACATGAACATCATCCAAAATTGAAATTCATAAAACACAATCATATTTTACAAGTTATGTTTTGGTCTTTTTGTAAAATATTGTTGTGTTTTCAAAAATGCTGTCTTTGGCCATTGTGGTCACCACAGACCATTCAGGACCCAATCCAGAAAACATAGTGACCTACAGATATGAACAGAAAGACTGTTTCTGATGCTTTATTACAGAACAAAATTACAATTCCATCAAACTCAATCAGCATGTTATGAGATAGTTCAAACAGTACGAGCCAGGACTACTTTAACCACTACATTTCCCCTGACTAAGGAGTCTAGCAGCCCCACGCCAGACTGCTGAGTGCAAAAGACACATAAGTGACAACGGGCCCTGGAGCTTCTCTGACGAGACCGGACCTGACACAGACCACAGTCCTGACAGAAAAGTCCTGCCTCTGCTCTTAGTGCATCGCTTCATGTCAGCATTTCTCCTGCCTCTGTCTGTCTGTCTGTCTGTCTGTCTGTGTCTCTGTCTGTCTGTCTGTCTGTCTGTCTGTGTCTCTGTCTGTCTGTCTGTGTCTCTGTCTGTCTGTCTGTCTGTCTGTCTGTCTGTCTGTCTGTCTGTCTGTCTGTGTGTCTGTCTGTCTGTGTCTCTGTCTGTCTGTCTGTCTGTCTGTGTCTCTCTGTGTGTCTGTCTGTCTGTCTGTGTCTCTGTCTGTCTGTCAGCTATATGTGTAATTGTCTCACTCACTCTGGGCGAGTAGAAGTGGCGTGAGTGGTGAGACTCCTCTGCCCTGGCCATCTCTTGACGTTGTGACCTCTTTGCAGTTCTCATGAGAATGGCTTCATGGAGGACCTAGATAAAACCTGGGTGAGATACCAGGAGTGTGACTCGAGGAGCAATGCCCCGGCCACACTCACCTTTGAGAACATGGCAGGTACGGTCCTTAGTGCGCGGATGGAAACAAAAAACACAACTTAGAACCATAAAGTTATTGGGCAAAACGGCAAAGGTTGGTTTCCGTAGCCACTGTTTTTGTCCAATACCTTTGCATCGTCAGTGCGTGGTTGTCTAGTTTTCCATATTGTGCTGTGTTTTGGTGGAGTTAAGTACTTCCTTTTATGTTCCTTTTAATTTTTCTTCTGTATTTTCCATTAGCAGCTGGTTGGATGGGTTTCGAGAAAATCTATGAGCCTGACATAACACAATAGAGGTTTTCCCACCAATTATGTGTCTGTAATACCTGCTGTAATTGAGTTCCCCATTGGTCACGTTCCCACAGCTGTAGTGGTTGACAGTGCTTGCACAAACCAGATTTAGATCAGATTTTCTTGTCCTTTACCCACTCAATGTTATTTTTAGCTAGAATCATGCTGTGATAGATATTCCCTTACCCTCCAAATGCCAATGCTGCCCCCTGGTTTCTCTGTCGAACGCAACTCGGTCGCTGCTTTTGTCTAATTTGGCAAAGCTTGGAGACAGAGGATGCAGAATTTTCCCTCTCCCTGCACGCTTCCTCCAGCTCAATCAACCAATCAAATGTATGTATTAAGGCAAATTCATACTGTGTAATCGTAGATGCTTTATAAGTCAAAATGAATATACAATAAAAACAGTATGAGAATATATAAGTCAGTAAAAAATCTATAGCAAAATAATATCGTTTTGAGCTTGGACTTAATTTTCTCCAGGGATGCAGCTTTCTTTATAATCTGGGGTGCCAGGTTTTTGACACATAAATCTTAATTCTTCTTATTCCTGACACTGGGCAACAGCAGGAGGCCAGTCCCTGTGCTCCTCAGAAAGACTAGTCAACTCGCTCCACACTCTCAATGTGAGTTTTTTTTGTATTTTTACAGTCGGGTAGATACAGATGCAAAAAAATGGAAAGACTCGCAATCCACTTTTAGGTCCAGACCCACCAGTTGAGAATCACTGTATTAGATCCAACCCACAGACACCAGCTATACCCTCTTTTATATTAACCAAGGAACATAGGAGACTTCGATCTTTCCCGGTGCCAAGTTTGTTCCCACTATTAATGAGAGTAAGTCTAAGGCCAAAACTACAGGGCCTCAGCTTCACAAAGAGTGCAGCCATTTGTCCGGACTCCAAAACGTCCAAAACAGATTAGATTAGGGAGCGTGCACCAATGGGGGACAGGCACTTCCAACACCAGGCCCTGTAAATCTTCCGACAGTGGGAAAACTTCTATATCAGCCAAAGAGCAGTGGTTTTCTCACACGTTTCCTCCTGCTTTGTCTTTTTGCACCGTTTCTCCCAAACCCCAGGTGTTTTCATGCTGGTCGCCGGTGGCATTGCGGCAGGGATCTTCCTCATCTTTATCGAAATCGCCTATAAAAGACATAAAGACGCTCGCAGGAAGCAGATGCAGCTCGCCTTTGCGGCCGTCAACGTCTGGAGGAAGAACCTGCAGGTAGGAATCCACCTACCTACAGCAACTCAGTCCGTCAAGTTTGTTACGGCAGGATTTTTAGGTTCTCGATTGTTTTTGTCGAGTGGCAAATTGTTTGACGATACTCTTGTCCAAGTTTGCGATGTCTCTTGTGCGTTGCTTTGCTGTTTCAAGCCAAAGTATTTACCTTTTTTTAATGCTAAGCTCCGCCCCCGTTGTCCCGGTGACAGTCTGACTTTTCCACAAAAATCTCAAAATCTTGGAGTGGTCCCCTTCTGCCTTAGAGTGGGAGTTTACCTGTAATATAGTAGTTTTAAGCACCTATAATCATATGTTTTATAGTTATAATACTCTAGCGCCCTCTCATGCATTATGGGAGAATTGTATGAGTTTTTTTCCCCCCAAAATAAATCTTTCCAACAAAATGGCTGAACTTCTAAACACAGGGTACTCCTGGGTAAATATTTCACCAATTAAAATGTAAATGTGCGCACTAAATAGATAAGCATATGCATGTTTCTGATCACTGATTTGGGGACTTTTGATTGGACCAATAGCAGCTGGGATTGTGTAATTTGCCGCTAACATACAATCTCTTAATCTTAATCCTAATCTCCAATGGAAGTGCATATGATGGGTGTTTTTCAAATGCATGTAGTTCTTGTGGTGGTAAACTATTGCAGATGGAACTGGATGGTTTTAAAAAAATAGCCTACATTGTGCCCATAGGTCCACTTCCTTCAGTCTCATTTTCTCGTTTTCAGACAAAAATGACATGAAATAACATTAATATTATCTGGAAAAAGGGTCAAAATAATCTTTCATCTCAACCAGGGTATGTAAACTTATGATCATACTGTAGCTGTAAGTGCCCAGTGGCAGAGTGATGGTTGCTGGAACTCTGCCAAGATGCTTTAGCTATGAAGCAAAAATAGTCAAATAATATGTTTTTTACTTTTTCATTTGATTATGTCTATTATTTATGTATTTTTTAGGACACAATTGTTTTTTTCTTTATGTGCTATAAAGGAGAATGTGTTTCTTTTATAATGTATTAGGCATTTTAGTCATTTGGGGTTCCATTTTAAAGCTGGGGTACCTAACTTTCAAACCTCAATAACAATAAGTGCATGATAAAATTCAACTACTTCCTTCGTTCTTGGTTCTATTACAAGCAAAACGAAAACGGGACCATCACAGCCAATCCGCTCTCAGCCCAAAGCATCAAAAAGTGACTCACAGGGCTCTTTCTTACAAGTCTAATCTATAATGTTTTCTATTGAGATAAAGAAAGCATCTTTGTGGTCTGATTTATACAGACTTATAGTAGACTAGACTCTTTCTGTTGGGACACCATGTAACACCATGTATCATTTATGAGGAAAAGTACAAGAAAAACATGTCTTGTACTGGACTTTACAGTATTTTAAACTTTTCCTCTTCATTAAGCTGAAGATAGAGATTTTATTTTAATTTCAAAGTCTGGAGTTGTGCCAAATTATTCACTTTTCTTGTGTTTTGTGCTCCTCATTCCTGTTCTATAACTTGTGATTCCACTCTAACATCTCTTAACTATAATCCTTCAAAAGTGACGTACCCCAGCTTTAATAATCCTTAAATCAGTGGTGTTTTTGCGCATAAGAAAGAGCCCGTCTGATCTCCAACCGCTTCTGCAGCTGTGGATTGGTGCAGTTCAAGCCCATTCGTCCAGACCACAACATTACAGACTCATAAACACGACAATTAGAGCATGAAATTAAGAAATCAATGCCTCGACAATCGCACAACAGTGACTCCGTCTCCGTTCCGTGGGAGTACATTTCAGGATTGCATTTCACTGCACGCCGCGAGCTTTCAATTTAGCTGCTGTAAAATGTCAATTATCTGGTTCAGCTCAACCAAATTACAACAGCATTTATATTCAAACGGCTCCCAGGACCGGGACGTGGCTCCACTCTGGTCCTGCTCTTCTCACAGGGCACAGGGAGTGGCTTTAGGCAGATCTATGGCATGGATCTATAATAATAATCTGGATAGGGTATTACTAGCTTGGAGCTGAAGGACACATGTGCCTGGGGGATTCTTGCGGTACTGCAGACTAAACAAGACCAAATTCACGTGGGCTTACCCAGACATTTTCCCCATAGATCTCAAAGTAAACTACAGCAGCTCGACCTCAGCTGACAGAGAACCTGACAGAGAACACAAAGACTGGCCAGGTTTTAAAGGGGATGTATCATGCATTTTTTTTGGTCATTTAAAAACATACTGAGACTATTTACTTCATCATTTCATGGTTTAGAATGCAAAATAATAGCTGAAGTAGTCAATATACGGTGAAACAAGTATGAAGGAATAGAATCTATATTCCCTTTTTCCAAATTAAAAAATTAAGCTTTCATAAAGGTCAGATTTTGTGGGGATTTTAGTGTCCCTTTCTTCTTAAATCCTACAGTTTTCGTTAAATCCACACTTTAGCGCCACAAACTCGATTTGTCTCCTGCTCTAACGCCGCTCTGATCAGCAGCGCCTGATTGGTCAGAACACGACATGCATGATAGTCACACATACATATTTAGCGCGGGAGGACCAGAAATATGCCCAAATCATGGTCAAGTTCCACTAATCTTTTGATTCCCATGGTGGCACATGCGCTACTGAGAACAAGCCATTGATTTGAATTGGGTGCCATCTTGAATCTTTTCTCAAGTGAACTGACTTTAACATTGTTTGCAGCCGGTAATTTGCAAATTTGGGAAAAAAGATTCTACTCCTCCGTCTGGTGGCAACATCGAAACTTACAGGGGGAAAGCATTTTTTCCCCTTCATACTGGTTTGACCGTATATTGACTACTTCAGCTATCATTTCACATTCTAAAACATGAAAGGACAAAGTAAGTAGTCTCAGTATGTTTTTTAATTACCAAAAATAATGCACGTTGCGTCCCCTTTAAAACCTCGCCAGTCTGTGTGTGTATCCTTTATGGCTGAGAAACAAGCCGTTTTAATCCCACGTCAGCCGGCATCACACTCACGCTTTGTTTCTGCGTCGTTGGCCCGAAATAGCGGCTAATCGAGCGCCACCGTTGGCCTCCGGCTAAAACCAACAATCCGATCCTCACCGCCGTGACTCACACCGCTGTAATGGGGTCCTCACAATCCGCTGCGTCTGTGCGGTTGTTGCTCACAGCGTTGGGAGCACTGATTGCAGTAGCCATTGTGATCTCATTACGGTGAACTTCACAAGGCGGCTGGAGGAAAAACGCATTAGGTTCAGGGGCTTTGTGGCCTCCGCTCTCCTTGGCTCTGTGTGGTTCTACGCTATGAGGGCCAATGGTCACCAAGAGACGGGGCACTTTTGACCAGTAGAGTCCAAAAGCTGTCTGGATGTCTGGAACCTTTTATATTTATTGTTTTATTCTGTCGTCAAATGATATTAATGCTGGTTTTCATAAATAAATTGAATGAAATATACAATACTAGCGCTGGTGATCTGGCGACATGCTAACCTTGGACCAGTCCGGCCCTCTGCTTGTAGGAAATTAGTTTTTTTTTGTTTCCCTTTGACATCCTGCTTTAATGGGACCACATGAAAACACACCCTTTGTTAAAGAAATTCTGTAATCCAGACACTCCCAGGACACACAGACACACACACACACACACAGCTCGTCGGTGAAGTGCTCAGTTATCGCAATTGGTCCCAGAGCAACGTCCTGCAGCTGTTGAGCAGATGTTGGTTGGAAGTGCCCCGTCTGGACCGGTGTGAGGCCGGTGTCGCTCTGATACAGACTGTCACATCCCCAACGGGTCACGGTTTCAGGCGTTGGTCTACCCTCTCCATCAGGGGTCTCCAACGTGTTTTGTTTGGAGAGATGATTTTAAGCAGAAATAGCCGTTTTTTTCAACAACTGGGGAAAATCATGAACAACACGTGTAAAATGTACCTTATCAGTGTATAACAACATTAGTGAACATACTGATAGCATGTATTATTAAAATAGATCCAATGCAATGATTCAAAATATAATAATTTAGGATCATGTGTCAAATTCCAGAATCATTTTGGGAGCTACCTGGAAAAGGGGTGGCGAGCTACTGCTTTATACAGTGGGACAGAATTGTTTCTGGACATTACATTACAATGTTGATATGTTATAATGTTATGGATGATATAGTATTGAAAGTACTTTACGTTAAAGCTGGGGAACCTCACTTTCAAGCCACCAAGCGATCGCTCTCAACACGATTCAATCCCTAGTTTTCAAATGTATGTATAATCGGCCCGTGAAAAAGAGACGATTCCCGCTCTCAGTCCAAATAGTCAAATCGTGACGATACATTTTTTCTAGTTAGATGGAGAGGGAATGAGAAAGTCTCATTTGATCTAAAAATTTGACTTTTACGAAACTCTTTCTGTTGTCATAAGCACTGTTTCCATTATAGTATCCGGTACCATGTCCTAGCATGCGACCCACAACAAACCAGAATAGTAGAAATTCACTACATGCCTGGTCAGAACCAGAGTCAAGAAGGACTAAAAAGTTCCAGCTAAACAGAGCCAAAGGAATTGCTCCCAATCAGGGTAGAGTAGAATAAGGGCCGAGTAGGGCTGGTGGAAACAGGGGTATAGATTATTTCTGAAAGTTTCTGTACCCCAGCTTCAAATCCTGCGGGAAAAGTGTTCCAACCAAATATCATTCATAACAATATTCTAGTTGTTTTTTAACGCTTCAACCACATAAAAATGAGAAAAGCCGGTAAAATATGCTCCTTTTGATATTTGATCTATGTGACATTGTGCTTTGATTTTATTATGTATTACTTCTTGTACAGATCTTTTTATAGAAGTCTTGTCAGTGTCTATGGAAAAAAATATATATATCGTCTAATTTTTCTTGTCACTTTTATCACAAACACTGCTGCTATTATTGTGTCCCTGTTCAAAACGATTTGCGCAAAAACACCTTGTTCTTGGGTTTGGTTCTGGTCCGTCGCTGTCTATCTCTCCATCTGCCTTA